CTCATATTTTCTATTGTTTCTGTATGGCCACTGCAGCAGCCGTCATAACCCATCCATCCGATGGGGGCTACAGCGGTGTTGGATGTAGGAGTTTGCCCTGAAATCGAAGGGTTGACGGTTCAAGCCCCGGCTCAGACTTTCGGTGTCGTTGTGTCCTTGGGCAAGACACTTCACCTGCATTGTCTACTGATGGTGGTCAGAGGGCCCGGTGGCGCCAGTGTACCGCAGCCTCGCTTCTGTCAGTGAGCCCCAGGGCAGCTGTGGCTACAATGTAGCCTGCCACCATCAGTGTGTGAGTGTGGCGGCACTACATTCATAGTGAAAAGCGCTTTGATCAAGCCTCCTGACTTTTTCAAAGTCAGGAGGCTTACCATTTACAATCCATCCATCCTTCCTAAGGAGAATTTAGAGAAGCCGATTCACCTAACAGTCATGTTTTTGGACTGTGGGAGGAAGCCGGAGTACCCGGAGAGAACCCACGCATCCAAGGGGAGAACATGCAAACTCCATGCAGAAAGACCAGGAATCGAACCAGGAACCTTATTGCTGCAAGGCAGCAGTGCTAGGCACTGCGCCGCTGTCCTAACCATAATGTGAAAAACACTTTTCTTCATAGTATTTTAGGCTTATGGAAAGAGTTAAAACATCTGATCTTGTTACAACTAAGCTAGAAAAAAAAAGAAACTGAAGAAATGCTGCATGAACAACTAACTTAGTGTTACGCACATAAGGAGCAGTCAAACTGTTAACTAGCAGTCATGTGAATGCAGAAATCGGTTATGAAACTGTTGCACTGACTTTCCTGCTCAGTCATTCCAGATGAAATATCAACGCAAACGTCAGAAATGTTAACTTTCGAGTACAAATTAAACACATAATATAGAAGGACCCATCCAGCTGGGACGTTGCTTCAGTCTTTCTTTCTGTAGGTTGCCAATAGGTTTTTCCATTTGGATTTTCAACTTGGATGTCAATAAAACTCAAAAGTAGTCCTTTAAGGCTTTATGCCACGTCCCAGGCTATGAAATCTACTAGAGCTGTATTCAATACTGATAACTTTGTTTAGCATTGTTGGAGATCAAACATCAATGATCTAAGCGTGCCAAGCCCAGCAGACATCATGTCCCTTTAAAACCACGGCACCAACTCTTCCCATCCTCTCTCCCTGTGGTCTGTTAGGCGGGACACACCACTCTACAGGTGAAGCCATGTTACTTAATCACACCCTGCATGGAAGAGTGTTCGCTGGGGAAGCAGGCTGCTTTCTGCCTACGATTCAGAGACAACTGAACGTAAAGTCTTTTCATCGCAATCCCACCTCCTCTGAGGCAGAATAGAAAAACTGTCCTGCTCAACCGTTGCTCGCCGCCTGGCCTGACTGAACTGCTTCATCTGATGCAGCAGAGCTCTGGGGTTTTAGTGTGAATGCACTATGTGCAAAAAGGGATGCATATACTTTAAAGAGGGAGAAGACTTAAAATATCCCCCAAAATGTCCAGATGATGTTATGGCAACTTGTGAAGAATCCGCTATAAGCTCCTCTTTTGTGCCTCTTCTTTTACAGACTATTGGACAGAAAGCCTCTGATTAACGATGATCTTCCAGGCCGGATTCTTCACGGAGCTCTTGTCATGAAGCCTAAGATCCGAGGGTTCAAGGATTCAGGCGTCATATTTGAAGACGGCACAGTTGAAGAAAACATCGATGCTGTGATCTTTTGCACTTCTAATTCTTGCCTTCTGCTCGGGAAGGGTCTAACTTGAGTGGATTCCTTCCCACTATCATCACAACACCAACTCCTTTACAAGAAGAATTCCTTTTAACGACCCCCCTTTCAGAGACATAAAAACAAAAAACGACCCCCATTCCAAAGGGGTGGATCCGTTCGTCCGTTTCAATCTGCATGTTTTCTAAACAAAAACAAGGCTTTGTTGGGTTACTGCTGGATAAAGCAACTCAACGCTATTTCTGACATTTTGAATTGAAAAAGCTTCCTGGATGGGAGAGAAATGTCTCCAAACTTGGAAACAAAGTCCAGTAGATTGTTTTTTAACTTTTTTGGAAGTTCGATGTGGTAATTTCACACTACTACTACTGATCCAGTCTCATTCCCAGATATACATCAGTGCCAGAAAGACATCCGTGCTAAAATATCAAGGTAAAAGTCATCATTAGACCCACCTTCCAACCCAGCTGTCAGAAAAGATTAACATATTTTTTTATCTCCTGATAAGAGTCTGGTGTTAACGTGGAGGGTTAACGCTGATAACGGCACACCACTAGTTAAAACAGTCACTTTTTCCTCTTTTTTTTTTTACAATTATGCACCAGTTACAGTTTGTCTATAATAATTTAGACGGGAGGTTTTTGGAAATCATATTTTTTTAAAAATTAGACATATGAATAACACTTTAAAAGTACCGAAGAGTCATAAAATCAAGAAGTGTTAGATTGTATGTTTGATGTTTTAGGTTTCGCTCGTCTTCCATGGAAGCAGAAAATGCTGGAAGCCGTAGAGGTCGAGAGGAGGTTAAACATTCACAGGTAACCATCATCCTGATCATCAGAGCCAGGCGCGCTGGAAGCTGTTTCAAGCGAGGGGGGCTGATGGCTGGGTTGGAAAACACATGAC